TTATTAATTTTATATATTTTATTTAAAAAGCAACAAAAATAATAATAAACTTTATTTTTTAAATATATTTTATTTGATAAAAATTTTGATATACAATATTTATAAATACCTGTAAAGTTTAAAAATAATTTTGAAAAGTTTGTAACTTGTAAGATGTTAAATCTTTTTTTGGAATACCTCCACCAATTGATGCAAAGTATGTACCTTTACTCGAAAATATACACATCACTCCTTGCAATAATCTGATCTCGTATGTCCGTTAAGGTCAAAATTCAAATCTTTTAAGGTTAGGTATTAAAAGTTCGTAGACACGATACACACACTGCACATATCGCGTTCCATTTAAGCGTGGCAAACTGTGCTTGAGTGTGTTATACTGTGTCGGTTTGTGTCTCCTAAAAGGAAAGCAGCCTATGTATATCTTATTTCTATATTATTCCTATCTCTATACTATCGCTATTGTCTGGCATTGTGTTTAGGCCTTCATTCGACTGTAAAGGCCTAAACACAATGCCAGGCAATAGCGATAGTATAGCGATAGGAATAATATAGAAATAAGAGATACATAAACTATCGCCTCCCGTTGCACAATGCGGCGAAAGAAATAAAGGCCAACCAATCAGATCGATTAAAAGTTCGTCGCCGAATTTTTCATTATTGCTCACTTGAGTGTCATTGATGTCCTGTATGTCGTACGATGTATTATCCGTATTAAGGTAACTATTAGTATTATCACAATAATTGGAATGATCCATTTTCTCATAATCAAACTAATTGAGTCGACAGATCGTGAAAAGAAGTTATAGCGGAGAAGAAGAACAGAATGTAAAATCTGAATGCTGATTGGTAGGCTATAACAGGCTATAAGGCGATAGACACAGAATTCCAACTCGTCGGAAATTTATCGCTATCGCTATCGCTATCGTTATTCCATGTTCCTATGTGCATTGACATATGGATTCCTGTATGTTGGATTCCTCTGTTCCTATCGCTATGTCTATCGCTATCGCTATGTCTATCGCTATCGCTATTGCCTCGCATTGTGTTTAGGCCTTAACTCTAACCACCAATGAGATACTATTAAAGACCGACATCCTTACGGGAGTTCACGTCTTTGTGAATATTGAAGTGATTAAAGGTAAATTTTCACGAGCTGCTCTAACCGGCTATTTTAGCGACAAAAAGGATCACGTGATCAAAATGGACATTTGATATTCGTCAATTTTGATCACGTGATTCTTTTTGTCGCTATAACAGCCGGTTTGAGCAGCCCGTGAAAATTTATCTTAAGAGTTAAAAACTGATAATATTGTACTAATTTTATGATTTATTAGTTTAGTAGATGTATTTATGCATTTATAACTCAATAATACTCTATTTTTCTTTAAAATTGAGATTTCAGAGTTATCATCAAAGTTTGATTATCAATAAAGATGATAATTGTAGAGAAAAAATTGTGATTTTTTTGTAATATATAGGATATTACAGCTTTACAAGTATATATATTTATTTATGGGACATTTATGTAATAAAAAAATCATGAATTTAATAATGGATGAGCCAAATATTTATGTTAATAATAGCAAATTTATATCAATTGTCGGTAATGTCAGCGTTCTTGAATTACCTCCGGGCCCTTGGGGCCCTTTTTATACCGCCAAAAATGTGCCCAGGGTTGACGGTTTTTAATAATATCTCGTCGGTGCTCTAACCCAACTCTAACCTCTAGACTATCATTCAGTGTTGCCAACGTAAAATATGTTTCACCGTCAGTTTTATTTTAAAAAATTACTAGAAAATCGTCAGATTTTAAATGAAAACCGCTAAAAATCCACTAAAACTTTTGCGTATATAAATATAGTTATAACTAAATAATTAAGCACAAAACACCGCGCATTCCATTCAAATGTAATAAAATTTTACGGTATAAACTTTTTCGTATACTATACATTTTTACGTAATCACAAATATTTATTTTTTAATATTTATTATGAAGTTGTAAAATATTTAGGTAATTATTCAGAATACCTCCCTCACCCCCGATTTCGATAAAATTAGGCTCATTCGACGCGTTTTTGCATGAAACTAAAGAATCTGGCAAAAAAAAGTGTCGCTCTGCCTCGCGAACCGAGATATTTAGCGTTAAAGTTGACGACTATGGAGGTTAGGAAATATTTATTATATAAAGCTGTTCTATATAATATTACGTTATAGTTTTAGTATAAAATCAGCACAATCTATTCATATATTAAACGTCATTAGTCAACTCTTTTTATTTTCCCCGCTAGGCGCTATTCGTACTGCGCAAATCTAGAGTCCCTAGATTTATCAGAGAGGCGCAACCGGTGTTATGCATTCTGATTCGCTGTTGCAATTTGATCAATTGCGTGACTTGGCAGCCATTTATAGTACTAGTGACATATTTCTATTTCATTTTATCTACAATTTATCTCACATTATCCTACACGTCTTATCTTGTTTGACATAGTTTAAAGGCAGTTTCATAGCATGTCGGCCATGTTTAGTACTCTCCTTAGCACTTTTGTCATACTGACTTAAGCCGGTTGCGCCTCTCTGATAAATCTAGGACTCTACGCAAACCGAGTAACCGAGATACATTCTCGTGCTGGACAAGAGTATAGTGACACATAACAGCCAATGACAAGGACGATCCTGACGGCAGTTTATTAGACCGGTATTCATAGTCGATTCTTATTTCAAGACTGTATTAAGGTAAATTTTCACGGGCTGCTCAAACCGGCTGTTTCAGCGACAAAAAGAATCGCGTGGTCAAAATTGACGAATATCAAATGTCCATTTTGATCACGTGATCCTTTTTGTCGCTAAAATAGCCGGTAAGAGCAGCTCCTAAAAAATTACCTTTAAGTAATGTCTTAAGACGCTGATGTAGCTCTGATTGGTTCGTGACTTCTTGGGACTGTACTTAAGACGGTCTTGAATATAAAGGCCATTCTACATTGGTCGTATCGTAGCGTCGGAATCGTCGTAAGCATCATACGACTTAAAAATTGAAGCATTGGATTGGCTGAAGCAACAAGCTTGTGACTTGAGACGTCTACGATACGACCAATGTAGAATGGCCTTAAGATCTGACTATGAATACCGGCCTTAGATCACCGTCAACATTAAAATAAAATCACCAGACTTCCCGTTAGTCGTTATGTTCGAATTATTACCGTTAAATCAACATAGAAATCGCTAGATTTAACGGGAAAATCACCAAATTGGCAACACTGCTATCATTCTACCAATCACAGCAAGGCAGCAGCCGACTCTGATTGCTGACTCGAGAATAGAAATCACTCTATTCGATCGACTTTGGGTTTGTTCGCGTCGCATGCTCCAATATGTTCCAATATGCTCCTAACCATAGCTCCTACTCACTCCAACGCGCTTGATAGAGTGAGTAGGAGCTATAGTAGGAGTACGTTGGAACATGTTGGAGCTAGAGTCCTAAATTTATCAGAGAGGCGCAACCGGCTTAAGTCAGTATGACAAAGATGCTAAGGAGAGTACTAAACATGGCCGACATGCTATGAAACTGCCTTTAAACTATTAGCGTATTCGATTTACCGACTCGACCCGACTCCGGGTCAATACTCTGTTCTGTTTAACTGCAAAAGAAGAGCTAAATTGTGTAAGAAATGCAGCTAAAAAGAACAGACTGTTGATTCAGAGTTGGGTCGAGTCAGTAATCGAATACGCTATATGTCAAACAAGATAAGACGTGTAGGATAATGTGAGATAAATTGTATAGGATAAAATGAAATAAAAATATGTCACTAGTACTATAAATGGCCGCCAAGTCACGCAATTGATCAAATTGCAACAGCGAATCAGAATGCATAACACCGGTTGCGCCTCTCTGATAAATGTAGGGACTCTAGGTTTGCGCAGTACGAATAGCGCCTAGCGGGGAAAATAAAAAGAGTTGGCTAATGACGTTTAATATATGAATAGATTGTGCTGATTTTATACTAAAACTATAACGTAATATTATATAGAACAGCTTTATATAATAAATATTTCCTAACCTCCATAGTCGTCAACTTTAACGCTAAATATCTCGGTTCGCGAGGCAGAGCGACACTTTTTTTTGCCAGATTCTTTAGTTTCATGCAAAAACGCGTCGAATGAGCCTAATTTTATCGAAATCGGGGGTGAGGGAGGTATTCTGAATAATTACCTAAATATTTTACAACTTCATAATAAATATTAAAAAATAAATATTTGTGATTACGTAAAAATGTATAGTATACGAAAAAGTTTATACCGTAAAATTTTATTACATTTGAATGGAATGCGCGGTGTTTTGTGCTTAATTATTTAGTTATAACTATATTTATATACGCAAAAGTTTTAGTGGATTTTTAGCGGTTTTCATTTAAAATCTGACGATTTTCTAGTAATTTTTTAAAATAAAACTGACGGTGAAACATATTTTACGTTGGCAACACTGAATGATAGTCGGGATTTCGAGAGTCCGAGTTAATGGTCAGTAACATGATAAAAATACAAGGGTATGCTCATCAATTGTCTAAAACTCGTTCAGCTTGCGCATGTCCTTGCCTACGTCATATTCGGGTACGCGTTGATTGGTCGGTTCTGATTCGGGTGCAATCGGTGGTTATCGGTCGTAATTTATCATGATGTCCATGGCGTAGTGCACGTTGTCATCGGTAGAAGTTAATGTTAAAAATATTTTCACGATGACCTGCATAGTGAAAGGATGCGGCAATTATATGAAAAAAACAAAAAAAACTGAGGGAAGTAAAATTAAATATTTTACCTTTCCAAAACAATCTGAAATTGCTGAACAGTGGCGTAAGCCACTCGTTGTGACGTAAGCAAGGACAAACATCTGATTGGTCATGCGCATGAGCATACCCTTGTCTTTTTATCATGGTCAGTAACTCAGTACAGTAGTCGAGTTAGAGTCGGGAGTCTGTAGTGTGATTACGGCTTAAGTGGAATGCAACTTAAACAAAATAGCATCAAAGCTGTTATCTAGTGCGAATCAAAAAGTTTTCTAAAGAAACTGACCGATCTCTTTATGCTTGACAAATACTTCCTGATTGTATGTTATATACGATAAATATTTTCTTAATCCGAGTAATTACTGGCATCGTCACGTCGCGTGGTAACAACCAGCCGGCGGCGTTATCGAGAGTCTCTTCTAAGTGCTAGGGTCTATAGTTTATATGTATACTATATCCTAGAACGGTTAAAACAGATATATATATTCGTTTTTACATACATCGTCGCAAACATCGAAATCCGAATATCAACTTGTTTATATGTATTCGCGTTAAGCCGCGTATTCACCTAGCGAACGAACACCGACCGAACAGCAAACGTAAAAATTTGTATTGTTTGTTACATAAAAGTCGCACAAGTTTAATTGCTACATGGAACGAACATCGAATCTGGTCGAATACCAGTATTCTGTACAATCGAGAAAAAGAATAAACTGCTCACAAATATAAACACTAATACCCGAACATTCGCGTTCGATGGTCGTTCGCTAGATGAATACATGGCTTTATAGGTATTTACGACGATGTACGTAAAAACAGGTAAATATATATATGTCTGTTTTACTTATATTTCAGCTATATGCATGATCATTCTACTATAATGTCCTTTCTTCTACATGATGAAAGGATGGAAAAAATTACCGGATTTATGTCTAAACACGAGGGCATCTTTCTTATGTATGTTTTCTTGTATTTTTTGATGTGCTGAATCATGTTCAAACGTTTATTTTAAACTGATTTGATAGGAACATGTTGAAAATCCCATTAAAAGTACCACAATTTTATCAAAATCTGAACTTTGCGTTTTTTAACATTTTCTAAACAGTTTAGCTTGAAATTAATGTTTGCAAATAATTCAGCACATCAGAAAATATGAAAAAATATAAGGAAGGTTTTATGGCTTAGGCTAAAATTGACCTATTCGTTGCTCAGGACGTTGAGTAAAATAGCCTATTTTGGCCTAAGCCAAAACGGAACCTTTTTTATGAATGTTTTTTCATATTTTTGGATGTGCTGAATCGTTTACAAACGTTAATTTCAAGTTAAACTGATGGAAAAATGTTAAAAATCACAGTCAATGTTCAAATTTCCACAAAATTGTTCTACTTTTAATGTGATTTTTAACATGTTCCCAACAAATCAATTTGAAACGAACGTTTATACTTATATATGATTCAGTACATCGAAAAATACAAGAAAACATAAGAAAGGTATCCTCGTTTAGGCACAAATCCAGTAATTTTACCCATTCTCTTTTGTTGTCAAAGGTGCCGTTTTTCTGATTTTAACTACTGCGACTGGACCAAAAACGGATATACATATTTTTCAGTTTTAATGTATGTTCCACAAAAAAACCGAGTCAGGATCACGTTGTAAGTATTGTACTGTATGATATTATTTTCTACACGAGATTGGTCATACTAGAAATCAATAGAGAACATGAAAGAGAATTTGTAAAGCTAACGATAAATATAAATATCATTTCAAAATCAAACACAATGTTATTTTTCAAATAATATACTTCTCAAAATTATGTAATATTATTGTGTTCGAATGGATATTTACGTTTTCAACATTAGCGTTATATTTCATTTTTTATGCTTTATTGATCTTAATTTATCTTTTCACTTTGTTAAATTTACCAAGGATTCATAAAATTTCTTTGATAAAATTACTATTTTTAAATAATCCAATGACTATGAATAATAATTCATTTAATATGTAACAAAACTTCTATGTAAAAAAATCTACTCGGTAAATATTTTTTCTTGTAAGTATATACATATATACGTACATATAAATATACGTAAACATATAATTATATAAAAATATAATTATTTATGAAATATGTCCATTATGTATATGCATACATGTTCACTTTTTTTGTAAAATTACTATTTTTTGGAATACGAAAAATAATAATAATGAGAAGACGTTAAAAAAATCATTAAAATGATCATTTTCGTTTTCTTCTTTTACAAAAAATCAAGTTCAAAGAAATAAGAAAAAATCTCTATATATGCTATATTTCTATATATTCTGTATATCATATAAATAAGTATGTATGATTATATATGGATAACAGCTCTAATTTCTTTAAACTTGACTTTTTGTAAAAGAAACAAAGCGAAAATTATCCTTTTAATGATTTTTTTTTATGTCTTCTCATTATTGTTGTTATTCTTGTACTAATAG